AAATACTGTACATGCAGAAGCCATGTGAAGGATTTTCTCCTCAAGGGAATTGGCAAGAATGTTATAAGAAACAGCCGGTAGTCCTTCCCAGACATCCACCTGCCACCTGGGAGCCACGAGTTTGGGAAGATGCTGCATATAGAAAATGTAAAAGGCTAATTGCTTCTTATCTAAACAGTGTGCTTGTCAGTCCCTATCCGCTCTCTCTCTTTGCAGGATGCATTTGGAAATTCTAAAAAAGGGGTTCCTGCCTCCTGTGAATTTACATTCTCAAGGAGTGGATGAAACAATCAAGCCAGCTTTTCCTAAGGAAGCAGCAGCCACTCTGCCTGTTGAGATGGTGTCTGCAAAAGGCATTCTGGAGAAGAGTGATATATATATATATATATATGTATTTTATTCAAGAAGCAAAATACTTTGAAGGGAAATAAGTTCCCTCTCTCCTCCCATCAGAGAGCCTCTTCTTTTAAGATTCTCCCACTGATCCCGTTCTAGAAGCAGAGACGAGGCCCGACCCAGCATCGTCTGCTGGTGGGGATACTGACCTACGCAGGATGCAGCTGAGGCTGCAACCTCACATCAGCACCTTGGAAATTGTCCATTGCAGACAACCCTTAATTATCTCACCACATAAGAGGAAGAGAACAATAAACCATGAGGAGGTGGAAGGAGCAGAGTCCGCTAGGATTCCCAGAGTTCTTGTCAGAAGCAGCATCTGGGCGTGGATGGGTGAGGACCTGCTCCCAGGGCTGGAAGGAACCAGCCTGTGGGACCAGGTGCCAGGTATATCAGGCTCATAGTCCTCATCAGCTCCAGATCAGACTTTTAAAACCTGGAGGGAACCATGGAATAACTAGCAAATGCTCTGGTTTTGCAGATGAGGAAGCTGAGACCCAGAAAAGGGAGGAGACTTGCATAAGGTCCCAGTTTCTCTGTATGTAACAGCCTTGGAGTCTCTGTAGCCGGCTGTCCAGGCCATTGACCTTTGGGGCGGATGCTCTGTTGCCTTTGGGAGTCCCAGGGCCCATTTCTGTTTGCCAAGCTCTCTGGAACCCAGGCCCAAGGACCTTCCTGGCATTAATGCGAACTGCCTGGGAGGCTGAAGGCTCCTGTCCTTGCTGGCCAAGTTTACAACCAGAACGTGGGGAGGTTCTCCTGGAGCAGTAACACGCATGCTTTGTGGCGAGCATCCTCCCCAAGCCAGTCTGGGACCCTGGGAGAATGCAAGTTTCCCTCACAGGCATAGCCTTACTGGGCCCACAAAGGCCTGAGCTCAGGGTTGGGGGGAGAGGAAGTTGCTTTGCTACATGGAAAGATTAAGCCCTTTGTCAGAGAACAAGGTCCCACCATGGGGCATGCCGACACCTGAGCCGCACGTGTGAGGCTCAGCTGGCAAAGCTGCTGCCCGAGGAGGCCAAGTTGCTCTCTTTGGCATCACTGACATCACTCTGAGATGCTCAGGCACTCTTTCAAAATAACCCTTGCCCAGCCAGCCCAGGCCGATCCAGTCCCCATCAGGCCTCACCGGATCAGGCGGGGCACGCTTGCCCTTCCGTCAGGACTGTTTTTGTTTTGCCCCAATCTGTTCTGACCTGAGTGAAAAGCAGACTCGAGGGAGAAGGTAGGGGACGAGTCTACGTTCCTATCTCCTCCCTGATCATGCAGGCGAACGGTAGTCCAGTACAGGAAGCAGCATTTTAAGGAACCTCTTTCTGGGTCAGGATATTGGAGAAGAAAACTCCGGGGAGAGGAAGAGAGAGGGAGGGAGAAAGGAGCCGGCGGGCAGCAGACCTCTCCCCCTCCCTCTCCTAGCAGCCACTGCGGATGCCCTGCTGGCCGGACACACACACCCCGCCCCCACCCCCGACCCTCTCCACCGATGAGCAAAGGCAGCAATTCGTCCACAGGGTTACACAGTGCAGGAAGCAACCCAAGAAGCAGAAGAGTAGCCTTTCTGAAGCCCTGCTGCTTTCTGGGCTGAAGAAGATGGGGACTCGGAGGTTATCAGGAGCTCTGGAGCCCCGCCTGGGGGGTGGGGGTGGGGGTGGGAGCCCAGCTTCTCCTGGGCTGCAGGGTGTGGAACAAGGACCCTGGTCCCGTGCCAGGGCTCCTGGTAATGCAGTCTAAGATTGTGCTACATTTCATTTCCAAAGAAGTGCCCTTGCAGGGCTCTAGCGTCTTTAAAGGGGGCGGGAGGCTTCTGCTCTCCTCAAGGCTGGCAGTAAAGAAGAACTCAGGCATGCTGGCCCTGGTGGGTGTTAGGCCCCCGGAAGAACCAGTGATCCCATGAGTGGTGAGCGAGAGGGGCAACCCTCTCTCTCGGCCCCCTGAAATGCTGGCAGTGCCTGGGCTTGCTGCATACTGAGAGCCTCCTTTCCTAAGAGTGCTGGGTCAGGGGAGAGACTTGGCGGGGAGCAGTTCGGGAGACGGTTTGACAAAAGGGATGTGATCCTTCAGTGAAGAACCAAGACTTGGCCCCATTTGCTGGAGTCCGACTCATACCAAAGGCCCATCACAGCCGCCCCTTTAGGAAAGGAGTCTGTGAAGGAAGCGGGACAGATTCACCATGGCAGAAACGTGAAGACAGATGCTCTGAATCATCTGTCATGGTTCCTGCCCACAGCCCGGCAGCGCTGCAGGGCTGTCTGTGCCACGTCTCCCATGAAACCTGCCCGAACAGAGGGAGATGGAGTGACAAAAAGCCCAGCCTGTCATCAGCCCCAGGGTCCCCTGGGGTAAGGAGCGGGCACGTGGAGCTGTGACACTGCGTCTGACAGTGCCTGGGAGGAATCATGTTCCTCCCCTCCCCACCGTTCCCTCCTCAAGGGACGGATGCGCCCCCCTCCAGGGAAGGCCAGCAGTCCCACGTGCTCCCTCCTCCACCGGGACAGGCTTGCTCCAGAGCAGCCTCTCAGACAAGCCCCTGCACCCAGGAGGCCCGGACAGACCTGTGAGCCCAGCCGCTCACCACCACAGTATATGGAGCCTCACTAGACCTCATTCTCATGCGAGAAAATCCAGGTGGGGTAACTGGATTAACTGGGTTTGGTACAAAGGGTTAAAGGTAACCCCCCAAGGGCAACTTGGGTGGGGAATGACTTCCCATTAGTGAGGCGGAACAGCGGAGTGTCCGACCTCTAGGACAGGCCAGGCCATCCCTCTGGCTAGTATGTGCCCCCTAGCCAACCTTCCCCGGAGGCAAGGGGCCAGCAGCCTTTGACCCCCCAGCAGAGCCTCAGCTCGTAGCTCCCCATCTTCTGTCTTCCTGGGTCCCTAGGGGAAGAAGGGTGACACCCTCTCTGATAGTCCTCGTTTCCTGGGGGTGACTGCACAGTCTGGGTGTCACCGCTCCGCGCCACATCAGGAAAGATCTACACGAACCTATGGATCACGAATAACCCCACCACTCCAAAGCTGTCAAGTATTTGCACACCATTCTGAGGGTGTGCACCATTCTGACGCAGAGCGTCACCCACAGGACATACAAATACTCTTCTGCAAGTGAGTTTCCTCCCTCTCCCCACCCTAGGATCCAAGACCACAGAGCCCTTTGCCATGGGAAATGCATTACCCAACCCCAATGCCAGGGGAGAATTTCTGAGAAAGAGAAAACTCAACCCAGCTGTCTCCTCTCTCCACAAACACAACAGTTCCCGTCCGGCTCCGGCAAGTCAGCCCAGGCGCTCGTTTTGTTAGTTCTCATTGCCCTCACCCACATTTTGTCCGTGGGCAGTTTTCTTGGGAGGGAGGTGGTCAGGCCCTGGCTTTAGCCCAATGCAGATCCTGCCAGAAAAGGAAACCCCTCAGTGGAAAACGGTCTGTCTCAGAGAGCCTCTGTTTCCACGTCCCCGCCTCAGCATCCATCCCCACGTCCACCTGGCTTTGGTGATGAATGGAGTCCAACCACCTCTCCACGGCTCCCCCCACGTACGCGGGTGAGAGTCATGCTGTGCTCGGGGGTGATGTCTGGGGAAGGTGCAGGGGCCCCACACCTTGACCCCTCCTGCTACCTCTTTCTCCCCTGCAGTTGTGGACCTGAGGGCTGCCATGTCCATCTTCTGGGCAACCTCTCGCCTTTCACACTAGACCCAAGGAGGCAGAGGGACAGATCTGGGCTCCCGAGCCAGACTTCAGGATTCCCAGCCGGCATCTCACAAGGTCCAGTCCAGGCCCTGGTGTCCACCCCCCGGGGGCCCAGCTGTCCAATCAGGTCAGGGTTTGAGTGGCTTTGGGAAGCTCCAACCAGACAAAGGTGGAAAGACAGCAGAGACAGGAGCGGCGTCAAGAGCAGGCCGGGCCGCTCTCCGGACGGCAGCGGCAGAGCGCGGGAGGCGGGGAGGCCGAGGGGGTGAGTATTGCTTGTACAGAGCTGGTGACTGTCACGGTCTATAGAGTGTAGAACCAGGCTGTGCGGGAGCCCAGAGGCTGGAGCTTCAGTAAGTCTGAGCTCTCAAACACAGACCCTGGTCTGGAAATGAGCAAAAAAAAAGAAAGAAAGAAAGAAAGAAAATAGAGCCCCTAATAGTCAGCTTCATGCAGCTAATCCCTGAAGGTCAGACAGGATTCTTAGAGCAAGTCAGTCCCAGCCCTCCTCCTTCCTGCCAGCAGCTGCGCCCTCCGTGGCCCCTCAACTAGCCAGGCCCCTTCAGGATGAGCCCCGAGGGGCACAGGGCCACCCTCAGGGCATTGGAAGGACACGGGTGCTATCGGGGGCTGCCCACCCTGGTAGACAACATCCCCTGTGAGGCCAACCTCTTGCAGGTCAAGACCATCCAGTCCGCACCTCCTGGGGTCCACTGGGAGGGCTCCTTTGGCATGTCGGAAGCGAGGAGGCTTAAAGGGAGACCGGAGGTGAACAATGCAAGAGGAGGCACCAGTACTTCCCGCCAAGGTACCTGGCCTGCAGCCCTGGGAACCGACACCCCCTCGGATCTCACTTTTAGGAAGTGGGAGGTGTCAGCTGGAGGGAGAAAGCCATCTCCAAGCCTGCAGCTCCCCAGCATTTTCTGCTCCCCGGGGCCCTGGCCAGGGCCCTAGGTGAGCTGCTAAGCTGTGGATGCATTCAATAGGAAGAGCGGCTGGAGAGCTCGGTGGAAAGGAGGGGTGTCAGGGTTCCCAGAGGGGCCTCAGTGCGGCCGGCTGCAATGGATGCTACATTCCTCAAAAAAGAGCAGCAGTGCTAGGAGAGGCAGAGGTGGAACAACGGACAAGACAAAACTAAGCAGAGACCACCAAGGACAGGCACGGCGGGGAACACGCGGGCTCTGCCCTGAGCCCGGGGCAGGCGGGAGGAACCAATGGCCGTGTCCCCCACTTCCACCCCTGGATTCGGCGGGACGGGGTGGGGGGGGAGTCCTGGCCTCACAATTCTCCTTTGGGTTTCTTTACCATGAGACACCGAGAGACATGGGTTTCAGCCCATATAGTCACCAAGACCGACTACACCCAGACAAATGAATAGATCTAACATGGTCACACACAGACACACACACACAGACACACGCACACGCGCACGCGCTAGAGACTCCAAAGACAGCTGGGCCAGGCCCAGTAGCCAACGGGCATGCAGCAGGGCAAGGGGGCCAGAGAGACGTGAGGACTATGTACAGGGGGGAGGAGGTGGGAGGCGGCCACACCCCTTCTCACATCGCAGCCCGGCCTCTCCCCGAGGTCCTTAGGAGCACGAGGGGCTGGTGGCGCTCTCCAGCGAGGACTGGGACAGGCGCCTGGTGAGGGAGCCGAGCGTAGAGTCTGCCACAGAGGACGTGGGGAAGAGTCTGTACCAGCCGGTGACTGCGGCACTCAGGTCCAGCTCATCCAGCATGATCTGGGCCATGCCCATGAAGCACTTGTGGTCCATGCGGCCGTAGTCTCCCCAGACGATCACCTGCCAGTGGGAGGAAGAGAGAGGAGCTGAGCCAGGGCACAGACGGGACTGCGAGAGGCAGAACTCAGACGGACTTCAGGCAGCAACTTATTAAGCACTTATGGTGTGCCAGGCTTATTAAGCATTTATGGTATGCATTATGGTGTACAGACTTTATATATATTCTCTCCATTGTCACAACCATCTAGGTAGAGGTGCTATATGGATTATTTCCACAAAAAGAAAAGGAGCTCAGAGTGAATAACTAACCCAAAGATACACGGCACAGCTGGGATTAGAACCTGGGCCTGACTTCCAGAGCCTCCTAGCATCCAGGATGACAGGCTTCCAGAGAGGGAAGCAGGCTGAGTCCAGGGCCTGGGCCACAGCTCCCACTGTGTTGCTGGATCACAATGGGATGATAAACATTACCACCAGGTGGAAGAAGGCAGTGGTCAAACTCTGCTTCTAGGGGACTTCCCTGGTGGCCCAGTGGTTAAGAATCTGCTTTCTAATGCAAAAAGTGCAGGTTAGATCCCTGACTGGGGAGTTAAGATACCACACATGTCTTGGCCAAAAAAACCAAAACATAAGACAGAAGCAATATTGTAACAAATTAATAAAGACTTTAAAAATGGTCCACATTAAAAAAAAATCTTAAAAAATAAAACCTGCCTCTACCTACCAGCTGTGCAACCTGGGGGCAATCGAGTTATCCCCCCCAACCTTGGTTTCCTTATGAATCAGCAGGAGGCAATAACACCTCACTAGGTTGTAACAAAAAATGGGTAGAGGGTATTAAGGTGCTGGCACAGGATAAACCATAAATACATTTAAAATGACAGTCTACAGTCTTTGAGAGTGGCCCTGCCCGCTGGCCGCGAGATGCTCACCTGCAGCACCTTGCCCTGGGGTCCCTCGTCGAAGAGCAAAGCCTGCTGGTACAGGGGGTCACAGGTCTTCTTAGCCACCTTCGTCTTCTTCTTGGCCAAGCAGGCCCCGTTCTCGAGTAGGTAAACCTTGATATAGGTGGCTGAGGGATGGAAGAAAGCATGATGGGGAGGGGTCCCGGGGAAACTGCTGTGGCCTGCCCCATCCCCTAACTTCCACATGATCCTGGAGGGGAGCAGGGTGAGCAGGAGGAGCTGACGAGTAGACAGCAGGTGGACAAGATGGACTCGAATACCAACTCCTCTGTCCTCTCCTCCCATCCCGCCCCCTCACTGGCCTTCCAGGCCATCCATGACTCCACTGTTGAGAATACTGATTAGGCCAATGGGGAGCCAGGACTTGCTAGACCCAGAGCTCAGCTGTGAATCCCACCCTGGCAGGACCCCATTTCCAAGATCCCTCATCCCAGCTGCTCTGCCTCACCTGGGAGGGATTTGGAGCCGGGTTTGGGGGTCAGGCCCCGAGCCTCAATCACTTCCACCTCCAGCTGGCCACTCCGGTCCATGATGGCAACGTGCACATCCCCTGCAAGGGAGAAGGAGGACAGTCGAGGCAGAGTCAGACCAAGGGGCAGGTTGGCCCACAGCATGCAGTCTGCAGAGGATGCTCCAGCGCTGAAAGGGGGCAAGACGGACAAAAACTGCATGCGCTGGAGCTGCTCTCCAGAGGCCAATTTAAAGCAGTTGAGAAATGTTTTGATAGGGCCCTTGGGGTGGGGTGGGGGCGTGACCCTCCAGGGCCCTGCTTAGGGAATCACAAAGGAAAGCTAGGTTGGGAGAAGGGAGGGGGCCTGTTTCACTGAGCGGAATAGCAAGTCTGGGGACAGATTTCTGTATCAGGAAAACAGGGGAGGCTGTGTGCTCAATAGATGTCTTCACCTTCTACACAGCAGCCATCAGCTGCTCCCCTAAATAAACGTCAAACAGATACTTAAAGAATATCAGTTTGGAGAGGTGACGAGATACAAGACTGCCCGGGCCATGAGGCACGCCCTAGAAATGAGGGCCTGTTCCCACCCTTGATAAAGGATGGGGGAAGGCAGCAGATATCCCAGGAGTACAGAGTTGTTGTTCAGTTGCTCAGTCATGTCTGACTCTTTGCAGCCCATGGACTGCAACATGCCAGGCTTCCCTGTCCTTCCCCATCTCCTGGAGCTTGCTCAAACTCATGTTCATTGAGTCAGTGATACCATCCAACCATCTCATCCTCTGTAATCTGCTTCTCCTGCCTTCAATCTTTCCCAGCATTAGGGACATTTCTAATGAGTTGGCTCTTGGCATCAGGTGGCCAAAGTACTGGAGCTTCAGCTTCAGCATCAGTCCTTCCAACAAATATCGAGGATTGATTTCCTTTAGGATTGACTGATTTGATCTCCTTGCAATCCAAGGAACTCTCAAGAGTCTTTTCTAACACCCAGCTCAAAAGCATCAGTTCTTCAGTATTCAGCCTTCTTTATGGTCCAACTCTCACATCCATACATGACTACTGGAAAAACCATGGCTTTGACTAGATGGACCTTTGTTTGCAAAGTAATGTCTCTGCTTTTTAATACACTGTCTAGGTTTGTCATAGCTTTTCTTCCAAAGAGCAAGCGTCTTTTAATTTTATGGTTGCGGTCACCATCTACAGTGATTTTGGAGCCCAAGAAAATAAAGTCTGTCACTGTTTCCATTGTTTCGCTGGGTCATTAAGATCTTTTTTGTATTCTGTATATTCTTGCCACCTCTTCTTAATATCTTCTGCTTCTGTTAGGTCCATACCATTTCTGTCCTTTATTGTGCCCATCTTTACTAGTCACTTGGGATGTCCTTCAGAGGGGTAGACAGGGAATTCTCTGGCAGTCCAGTGGTTAAGACTCTGCTTCCACTGCAGAGGCACGGGTTTGATTCCTGGTCAGGGAATTAAAATCCTGCATGCTGCATGGCCAAAAAAAGGGGGTTCAGAATCATAAGCCTGATGCAGAAAAGCTAAAATGGGCCAGACTTCGGGTTCAGCCACTCATTTTAGAGTCTGAACCATTTTGCCACTGTGTATTTGCACACTTTGGAAGATGGGGACTTATGACTTTCAGGAGACATCCTGCAATTCATCCCTCTCCCTCTAGCTATTCCTGACCTCCCCATGGGGAATGGGGAAGGGGAGGTCTCAGGAATTAATTAATCTTAACTCTCACTGTAACATCCCCAACAAGGAGAGCCAATGCAAACCTGTCCTTCCCAGTTTAGGACACCAGGGGGCGCCATACACGAGTGTTCCAGGCTGCGATGGCGCATAAGCCTTGTGCAAGTGGCTGGTTTTTCTCACCACCTCCCAGTCCTTGGCTGGGCCTAGAGCTGGAAAAAGCAGACTCTCCAGGCCCTTAAAAGCCTGAAAGCAAGGACTGGGAATTAGCCAAATCCCACCCAAGAGCCAGATGGGAACTGCCACTTACCCTCTGAGGGTCCCTATGGACCCTCTTCCAGTAGAGAAAGGCTCCTGTGTGAGCCGTTTCCAGGAAAACAGGGCAGTGCAGTGGGAGGAGTCCTGGCCTGGAATGGAATGTCAGCTCCACTGCGTGGTCACAGCAGGGCACTGTCTGCACTCAACTTTCTCATTTGCTGCGAGGTCGAAGGTTAGACACTGTCTATGTGAGGGCTGAGTGCAGACGTCTGGGTCAGACACTGCTCAGGTCAGACTGATGGGGAGGGAGGGGTGGAGGCAAGTGGGCATCTCTAGGGAAGCTAGCCTGGGAGCTGCTGCTTGAGGCCAGCACAGCCAGAATCTGAGCGAGAGAGAAGGGGACGGAGCTAGAACTGCAGCTAAGAGGACCAGGAATAGACCGTAGGGAGGACTTGCTAGCTACAGAGAGGGGGATAAGAAAATTACTAAAAGGCTTCTAGGTGCCAGGCACTGTTAGAAGTAACAAGTCAAATAAGACACAGTTTCTAAGGCGTAAATGAAATATTTCATGCAAGGCATCACACAGGGACTCAAAAAATTGTCTTCAGATTGCAGAACTAAGGCAGGCATTATTATTCCCATCTTACAGATGACCATACCAAGGTTCATAGAAGGGACGTGGCTTGCCCAAGATCCCACAAAGAATCAGTGACAGAGCAGAATCCATGGACGTCGATGCCACGATAATCTTTGTTCACCATCTTATGCCTGGCACTAGCACTGCCGGTCGTACTCCTGCCTGGAGAATCGCATGGACAGAGGAGCCTGGTGGGCTGCAGTC